CGGCACCGCCGCCTCCACCTCCATCACTGCCTTCTCCATCACTAGGTGCTACTGCCGCAGCAGCCGTCGCCGCTACTACCCCTCCCTGCCCGTCCCGCTCACCCCCTCCCCCGGCCCCCGAAAACCTCACATCATCACAGCGCGTCACCGCACCAACAACATGGAACCCAACCCATCTCATCCGCTCATCGCAGCCCTCTCCTTGCCCTTGCCCGTGCCCGTGCCCTGCGCCGCAACAGCATCGTCGCCCAGACTCAACGCCTCAACGCCACTCTCCACCGCCGGCCCCGAGGTATCGCCCACCGAAAACTTCATCTCGACGTCCTCGCCCTCGGCGTCATCGTCATCGGCATCAGCACCAGCACCAGCAGTACCACTAGCACCCGCACTCTCACCCGCCCCCTCCTCCCCCCTCAGCGCGCCCACGACCGTGTCCAGCGCCCCGCCCTCAACAAGCAGCCACGCAACGACGTCGTCCTTGCCGTTCTGCTCCGCCTCGAACACCGCGTCGTGCCCCGCGGCGTTGAGGACGGCGGCGTCGGCGCCCAGCGCCACGAGCTGCTTGCATGCGGCCAGGTGCCCGTTCAGGCACGCCCAGTGCAGCGCCGTGTTGCCGGCTGCGTTGCGCTGGTTGATGAACGCGGCGTGGGGCGCGCTTTTGGGGTCCGTGGTGGTGGTCAGCGCGTCTTTGATGAGCGCGAGGATGTCTGCGCAGGGTCACGGGTGGTTAGCGTGTGTGTGTGGGTGTGTGGTCTCTGCGCACAAGGCAAGGGCAAGGGCAAGGGCAAGGACAAGGTGCAACCGCATAGGCAGGGCGTTCGGTCGTTTCCACCGCGCCGGGCCAGCCAGCCAGTCCATCACGCGGCCCACGCGCCCTCCGCCCTCGCCCTCGCCCTCTCGCTTGTCGCGCGTGCGTGCTTGCGCTTCCACATACCAGTATGCCCGTTCGCAGCCGCATAGTGCAGCGCGCTGTTGCCGGACTCGGGGTCCACGGCCGCGGCCAGCAGGTCCGCGCGCGATGCGCTGGCGTGGCTACCATTGCTGCTGCTGAGCTCGTGCAGGTAGGCGTCCAGGTCGGCGGTCTCGTTTGCGCGCGCGCAGTAGAGGATCTCGTCGATTTCGTCGTCGGAGAGGGAGAGGGTGGCGGGGGTCGTCATGGCGGCCGAGGAGTCGACAGCGAGGGTCGTGCGGACGGATGGCGAGATCAGGTGGAAATCGAACTAGACGAGCCGGTGCGCACGAGGCTGTGTTTGCTTGCCTGTCGTGTGGTCGGGTCGAAGTAGGTAGGTCGGACGGGCAGTCGAAAAAATCGCAGCACGAGCACCCACGCCCGCACCGCGGAGGTGTCGGTCGGCGTCGGCGTCGGCGACGGGCGGGCGTCCGTGCGCACGTCCCCAAGGATCCCACCCGCCAGGCACAGGCAGATCTGAGATGAGATATCCATCTCGATCGCGCGATCATGAACGGCCTTGTCCATCGAACTGTCCCGGCCAGCGTGGGGCGCCGTTGCGGATTGCGTGAGTGGGCGGGCCGGAGCCGTGGCCGTTTGGACGGGCGGGAGGCTTGCGTGCGTGCGTGTTCCTGCATCTTGTTCTGGGCTGTTCAACGCCAACAGACACTCGCGTATGTATCAAATACCTACCTACAGCGCGCCATCTCAACCCAGCCAACAGCCAACTAACCCATCACCACTATCAATCAACTACCGAGTACCTACCACCTCCAACACCAACCCAACCACACCGCCCTCGTCATCCCCTGCACGCGCAGAAGAAAACCAGCCCATACCCATACCCACCCGCGCCCATCCATCCTCGTGATAAACCCAGCAAGACCAAGTCGCACCCCCACCCCAAAAGAACCTGTTTCTACCCCCCAAGCCCCTAACCCCAGCCTGCGAGCTGCGACGCGCGCCTTGTTTTTCGCCCTCGCGTTGCCCAGACTACCTACGAGCCGGAAGCGAGGGAAGCGAGGGCACGGCGTCCCGTCCGCGACTCGTGCCGCGCGCTGTGCCTTGTCTTGTGCTGCCAGCTGCAATTCTTCACCCAAGCTTTGGCTTTGGCTGTCTCCACCCTCTGCTCTGCTCTGCTCTGACATCTATTGTACGGTCAGCCGAGCCGACGCCCGACCGGGACCCAGGGACTGCATGGGTGGATGACTCGGTGCCTTAGCCGGTGCCCTATCCTACTTACCTAGGTACTTACCTCTTACCTCTAGCCCCCAGAGAAGGGATTTGTAGCGTATAGGTAGTGTACATACATAGGTAGTACATACAACAGCCGTCACAGCTCGCTCGCTCATGACGCGCGCGGCCGAGCTATGTGCGTAGGTAGCGGCAACGGTGCGGAAAAGCTTGGTACGTGGTGTCTAGTGCTTGGCTCGAGACGGGGCGGTGGTTTCGACGGTTTCGACCCTGTTTGCGGCTGCAGTGGCGGGGCGAGGGGAGGCCTTACCTACCTAGGTACCATCCTACCTGTAACCTACCTACGCAGTCCGCACGCCGGACGATGGGCGTGTTTGCGTTCGTATAGTGCAACGCGAACAACTGGCACAGTACCTGGTATCAGTATCCTAGGAGTAGGTAGAAGCCGCATCACCAACCCAGGCCGAAACCCATAAACAAGCGAGCGCAAGCAGCGCGCCCGCGCCCAAGCCAAGGATCTGCACCAGCCCACCAGCCCAAAGCCCACCAGCCTTCCAAGCTTTCGCTCCGCTCATCACTGCAGCGCGCAGATTATTATCCGAGCATTGATAGGCAGCCTTGCAGCCACTAGTTACATACTGTAGCAGCACTAGGCAGGCAGGGCAGGGCAGGCGCGCTCAACGCTCAACAACCCGACCGGCCTTGTGCCTGCTCATCACCTACCTAGCTCGCTTCTGCTGCTCCGCAACCAGCCCCGGCGCAGCAAGGCGCAAGCAAAGCGTAAAGCCTACACTACTCTAGGTACCTAACCCAGCACGCGCGCCGGCGCCGGAGATGGCCTAGCCTACCTGGCCTAGCCTACGAGTAGAGTACTCCTACGCATGCGACCTTATTACCCGGATTGAGTACCTACCTACCGTAGAGTATGTTCCCAGCCTAGGTAACTAGGTACATAGGAGGCTGGAGGGCTTACCTGCAGTAGTAGCGCGCCAGGACCCTGACCCTGACCCTGACCCCGTCCTTGACCCAGTGACCCAGACCCTGACCTGACCTGACCTGACCGGTATAGAGCGATGTGCAGATGTGCAGTGCGGCCACCCGCGCCGTGTGGAGCCGTGCGTATTGATTGACGAGACTACCACGTAGGCTGCACTCGTGCGATACGCGTGAGCGACCGACGAGCAGCAGCGTTGGGTTGGGGTGGTGCTTGTTTGATTGCTAGGTAGGTATTTGCTATTGGATGAGTATTTGCATTTTGGATTTTGGATTTGTGCTTGCATCCGCGCTAGGTATGTACTCCTGTTGTATGGCGACCGGACCTACGATAGGTAGGTAGTTAGGTAGGCAGCGCAGCGCACGGCCGTGTGGTGTGGGTAGGTACGGCGCGTGGACGGGCCCGAGCCAGCCGGCACGAGGAGCGTCGGCGTCGCTAGGTTGGTCGGGTCGTGACGAGGTCGCGTCGCGGCGGGACGAGACGAGGCGAGACGAGGCGCGGCGGTGGCTTCTATCACTAGGTAGGCACTTACCGAGACACGGAGTAGAGAAGGATGGCGGAAATGCCCTAGAAGGCGGAGCGTGAGTGGAAGGAAGAAAGAAAGGATGGAAGGAAGGAATGCAGTCATCGTCACTAGGTAGGTAGGTGAGGTTTTACTCTAGATGGAGGAGCGCCCGCCCGAACACGAGGCTGCGCCGCCGTGGCCGCCGTGGCGCAAGCCCTGCGCCTCCTTCGTGTGTGTTGTTGCCTGCCATGCCGTGTACGGCCACATGCAGGACGTCATCACGACCATCAGGACCATCACGACGACGAAGCTCCTCTAGCCAGCCAGCCATGTTTCATCAGCGCAGAGATAGGTACCTACCACGTAGGCACACAGGTACAGTACAGTTAAGCAGCAGCCCCAGCCTTGCACGCAGCACACCTTGTGCAGATGAACTCCACTCAACGCAGCGATGCGCGCCAGGACCCAGGGCAGCGCGCACGCGACCCGCAGAACCTGGTCCTGAGACCTGAGGGGGGTGTGGAGGCGTGGAGGCGTGGATCTGGCAATGATTCAACTGCGCAACTGCGCGGATCGACACTCACTCGCTCACTCACTCGGCCACTCCGATACATAGGTAAGGTACCTAGGTAGCATTGCTTACCTACTCCTACAGCCTAGGTACAGGCGGGTGAGAAAGCGCGCACACACGCACACACGCACACACGCATGCAGGCAAGCAGGCAAGCAGGCAGCACCCCCCATACGCAAGCGGGTGCGCAAGCGGAAGTGGCCAGGTGCGCGGTCCGTGGATGGATGCACGCATGCGAGCGAGCGAGTGAGTGAGTGAGTGAGTGGGTGGTGACGGCAACGATCTGCGCCTGCGCCTGCGCCCTTTCCATCTGGTCATACCTCACATCTGCGTTTGCGTTTGCGATTGCGATTACGATTGCGATTGCGATTGCACGCCCTCGCTTTCCTTACTCCTAACCTTACACACTTGCACACCTAGAGTACACATTGAGTTCTTTGCGCACCTGGTCGTCGTCATCGCGGGTTTGTGTGAGCTCTGCTTGCTTGCCCGTCTGTCTATGCGCGTCGCGTCTGCAAGAGCAGTAGGTAGGTAGTACTCTAGCAGCAGCAGCAGCAGCAGCGAGCGCACATGCACTCGTCGTCGTCGTCGTCGTCGTCGTCGTCAGGGGCCTGCATACGTGCGGGTAGCAGCGCGCGCGCGCGCGCGCAAGTGTGTCCCGTGGGTGGGTGGGTGATTAGGGGCGCGGGACGAGGCATTGTTTGGCCGGGGGCGGCAGGGCGGCGGACGAGTAGAGTGCTCTGCTCTGCTCTAGCGAGAGATGACGATGACGGGATGGCGCGCGCGCATCAATGTTCCGCGCCGAGGCGGCCTAGCGGAGATGGATCCGGTGCGTGCGCTGGGGGGTGTGATTTGTGGGCGGGGTGGCGTGGAGGGCATGTCATGGAGGGCGGGTAGTGGACTAGTAGTATGGTGTGGTATGGTGGTGTGGTGTTGAGCGGGTGGCCTGGTTGGTTGGTTGGTTATTGTTGTTGTGTGGGTGTGTGTGTGCGTGTGCGCTTGTATTGTGTCGTACTTGCGTGGGTTTTGTGGTGGCTTCGTGGGATTTGTTTGTTGCGGTTTGGGTTGCGGGTGGCGGAGATTTTGGCGGTGGTGGTGGCGTCCTCACATGGCTCAGAACCAAGATGAGCTTGAGCTTGTTCGGGTGTCGGATCAGATAATAATACTGGGAAGGATCATCACAAGCACGTCAGGATGCAACAAGGCACTGTTGATGTTGGTGTTGAAAGAGTTCGATTGAATCGTGTCGTCGTTGATGATCTAGTAACCACCAGTACGTGTATCTTTCTCGCAGACAGAGAACCCAAGATGCTTTAACGCTGCGCTACCCATAACTAAAAAGGAAAATCTCGCCAATGAAAGAGAAACCATAAACACCAAAAGATGCTAAGTGATGAACGCTTCGCTTCGTAGTAGTTGCGCCTGTGTGGCGACCCGGTGCCGGAAATCATAGTCGTGATAGGAATTTAACGCCAGGCGCTCATCGTTCTCCGTAGCAGGGGTAACTGCATCGCTGCAAGAGATGCGGAGAAATGGCGATCGAGTAGATTACGCGCCGACTGTGCCGGACATTCGGACGCAGTGGTGGGAGGAAAAAGTAAAAAAGGAGACAAGTGGCGATTTAAAAAAGGCCTTTAGTCGGAGCTGACCGAGCCGCGGCTCGAGTCGGAGAAGTTGGAGGAGCCACCGTTGGAGCGCCGGCGACTGGCAGAGCTGGTGAAGCGCTCGAGCTGGCTCTTGGTGTGCTCATGCATGACGCTGCGAGGCGTTAGTGTTGTGGTTCAAGTAGAGAGATAATGGCGTTGTGACGTACCGGTTGTAGAGCGACATGGACTCGTGAGGGTTCTCCAGGTCGTACTGGTTGGCGAAGTTGTGCTGGGCCGACATGGGCTCGGAGAAGTTGTCGCGGACGTAGACGCCCTGGTGAGACTCGACGGCAGAAGACATGGTGAGAGTTGGTTGGTGGGAAGTTTTGGTTGTTTGTTTGGAGGAACAGAAGATGGGAGGAAAGCAGAAGAAGGCTGTGGATGCTGGTTTCTGGAATTGGCGACGCAGATTGGATCTAATATAGCCAAGTAGGCGTGCGAGCCAAGAGACCCTTACGCCGGAGAGATCTGCAAGCTATGATATCGCCGGGTGGGGCGAGAGGCAGGGGTGCGTTTTTTGCCGGCTCGGTGACGGAACCGCTAGACTCGTCGGGGAAGGACCCTGCAAATCGATGATGAGTAGGCTCAGTCCAGCCGCACGCAACGCTCCCGCGAGCATCACCGCCGACATCATCCGCCGGCCGAAGGAATGCAGTCTGTGCTGAGAACTCTCTTTTTTTTTCTCCCCAGCAACAGCCAACAAACCGGGGGAGAGCTAGGTATGCACGCCTGGCCCGGATATGACGCAGGGAGCGGCTGCCGTGTGATGCGCGCCAAGCCCCGTCCGCCTTGCGCGCGCTGCAGGCTACACCAACTCCATCATCAGCATCAGCCTCTCTTCCCCATCGCCCACCGCCTTCCTCGTTGGCCCTTCGACTCCCAGGGGCACCCGCTTCCCCGCTGTTGCTCGTCCCGCGTTGCTCTGCAAGTCACTGGAGTCTAGCCAGGTCGACGAGCCCGCCACGCTGGTTTCCTGCGTCACCTTCTTCAACGCTGCCCGCCAAGCCAACTAGTCCAATCGCCCCGACCCGCCGCCTCCGCGGTTCTCGACCGCGACCCTCTATCGTCCTTTCTCCACGTTTGACCTCACTGCTTTCCCGAATCGCACCACGAAATCGCTTGTAGAGCACTTTGCCTCGTGTGATGCCATGCACTGCTATGTCACCGTCAGACCCTATTCTCACACATCTCACCCATCTCACCTACTACGTAGCTCACCAAAAGTCCCTGCAGATGCAAACTCGCGTGTCACCCTCTTTTCTCTCCCCTTACAGCTGACGTTCTGGCGCGGCCGTAAATTGCCGCTCGCTAACCGCCAATATAGGCGTTAGACGTCATCCGGCTCCGACTTGCACACCACCAGGTCAGCCTCTGTTTTGTTCCACCCTAATCACACGTCTCGCACCCCGGTCCCTTTGCCGCAACAGTGTCCTTTTTGCGGCCGTCTTCAGCTGCTCGTAAACGCGGCGACGTTGCGTGCCTTGCGTCGCTTGGGTGCTCGTGCAACTTTCGCCACTTTCTCTGATGTCATGCGTCGAGCTCTCTGCCTACTCGATTTCCTCTTGTGGGCGGTCAGCGCCGCCGATCAGTGCGGGCAGCGAACGTCAGTTAGCATGAGCGACAGAGGATGGTCTTTGCCTCTTCTGCGCGACGACTAATTTTCAAACCTCATGCTGTTGGCTGCTTTCGGCCTGCCGGTGGCGGACGCGCACACGAGCCTGACGCAACATCTGATATCACCCAGCGGCGCCGCTGCAACAAACGGGACAGACACGCGCATCGCAAACACGTCTCTCGCCGCCCTTCCCGTGGTCCAGCGGCGGTGGCCACGTCTAAAGTTGCACCGATCCTCAGACAGCTGCCCTCCTTCTTCCTCCGGCAACGTCATCTTGGGACCACAACCATATGCACCCTCGGCCGCTCCTGCGACGCGTTCCCCGCCTGGCCCCAGACGAGGGCTGCGGAACACGGCAGCTGCTCGTCGGTTCGGCCGCCTTGAAACCATCCCAATCACGCTTCATAGGAGGAACCCGGAGTCGGCGCGCGGCTCTGACGTCTGTCTCTCCCCATAAGCACCACGGACCCCTTGTTGGCGCACCTGTAAGGCGGCGTAACGGCTTTCACTAGCCCATCGGTCGTAATTCAGCCGTCCAACCAACCACGCCGCTGCCCGGCAACGCCTCTGTCGTCTGGCTAGCCTCCGCATTTCACACGCGAGGGCGCGATAGCTAGCGAGGGTGCTCTTGGCTTGCATAGGAGGCTGGCACGGCTTGAGAGGCCCCTGTTCCGTCTCCGACGCTCGCTGGGGGGGTTTCTCCCCGCCTCCGACGCGGGAGGCGGCGGGCGGCAAGCCGCCTCATTGCTGAGCCGAATCACGATTAAGCCGTCTTATCGTGATTCTGGGAACCTGGGCCTTGTCCCGCGTGCGGAATTGTTCCAGCGAGTTTTCGAGGCTAGCGGAGGCGGAGGACGTTGCGAGGGTTGCTTGGCTGACGTTGACGCAGGTGATGAGACGGGAGCAGGAAGCTCATTTGCCTCCTTTCGAGGGTAGGACCTAAGAGTAGTAGGGGCGATCGCGATCGCGATGTGGAGGCGAGCGACGATTGGTTGCAATCGTTGATCGATTCGTTACAAGATGCCCGTCCGCCCCTGCCTACCAACCTGTTGTAGAGGACTGCCTCATCGCTGAACATCACATCGCAGCTCATCGATCGCATCATCACATCCATCATAGCGCACTTTGCAGTTGGCGGTTACGTCTTCTCCGCATCAACGGCCTCGCCCCTACTACGTATCTACTAGGACACGAGCATAGCAGTTGGCAGCAGCTTCCAAGGATCAATACGATATACGTAGCCACGACGCAGCTTGCAGCGCCAACTCGCCCGCGCGAACATCCCCTCCCCGTTCTTCTCGAAAGAACACATCATCACGGGCCCACGACGCTCACGACGACGACGACGACCACCACCACCACCACATCATAATCCGGCGCCTTGATCATCATCAAGGCCCCCACGTCGCCACCGCTCCCCATGCACTCACGCCTCCCCATCCCGCACTTTAGCAAGCCCCTTCGCTGGCGCGCCCTCTGGTCGCGGCCGGCCACAACCTCCACCTCCACCTCAACCCCAACCTCGTCGTCTTCCTCCTCCCCCTCCTCATCCGCACCCCTAGCAGCAACGGTATCGCGCTCCTCGGCAGCAACAGCAGCGTCCTCGTCCACGTCGGCGGCCTCGTCGACAGACGACCTCGCGCTGCGCCAGCAGGATAGCGCGCGCAGCGTCTTGTGCAGCTATGAGCGGGCGGAGGAGGGGCCGCGGAAGGGCGAGGCGGGCGCGTTGAACTTGGATGGTGTTGAGGGCGTGGTTGTTGCTGTGAGGGAGGTGGGTGTGGGTGGTGATGGTGAGGCTGGTTCCAGGGGAGGTGATTAGGGGAATATGGTAAGGGGAAGGGTTGGGCTCAAGGTACGTTGAGTGCGCGTGCGCGTTATGTGGTGCTTGTGGTGTTTCTGTCTGTCTGTTGATGCGGTTAGCGTGACGATGGTTTTGGGGTGTAGAAAGTTGGTTGTGCCCGCTTGCTTGCTTGCGTAGGAGCGAGTTTGTCCGCGAGTTTGTCCGCGAGTCTGCCCTGTCTGTCTGTCTGTCCGTCCCTCTGTCTGTCTTGTCTATCAGCTTCCTAGCAAATCGAGCGCGAGCACGAGAGCGAGAGCGAGAGCGAGAAAGAGAGCAAGAGCACAGCTGACGCTGACGCAGGCAGGCAGGCAGGCACGACGTCGATCCCGGTCTCGGTCTCGATCTCGAATAAGCGTCGAGCTTTAAACAAGCACCAAGCAGGCAGACGAGCAAGCTGGCAAGCAAACGAGCAAACAGGCAGCCAAACAACCCTCCCACCTACCTACCTTCCTACCTACATAGCACGTACGTACGTATGTACGGTACACGTGCAAGCGCGAGGCTGGCACTGGCTGGCACGGGCTGCCAGTGTGCACGTGTATGCAAGCAAGCGAATAAACAAGCAAGCGCGCACCCATACTTCATCGCTACACCCTACCACACGCCCTACCACACACCACACCACACCACCAAACCCTCGTACACGTACTCCCGTCCTCAGCACAAGGTACTTGTAGCGTAGTCGACACAACGACATAGATATGCTATGCTATAATATGCTATGGTATGACATGGTATGCTATGATATGCTATGATATGATATAATATGCGTAGACGTCGGCGCTTGTGTGTTTGTATGCACTATACTGTATTGTAGCTATCTAGCAAAGAAGGGGGTGCGTGGGTGGAAGGATAGGTGGGTAGAAGGGTAGGGTATTTGGAATTAGATGCAGATCTAGATTAGGATCGTAGTTTAATAAGACTTATCGGCGCGTGTTTACGTATATATAGCGTAGGGTAGAGCTAGAACTAGTAGTATAGATATAAGTAGATATAGATATATATTAGTTTACTAGCTTTAGCTACTAGATATCTAGTCTAAGCTAGATTATAGGTTGTCTTAGTAATTTAGTCCTTTATACTAGTATCGCTATTATACTATCGTAGTTAGGACCTAATAGGTTAGGATAAGTTATCTATACTCTACCTAAAGGCTTCTCTCTTCTAGCGCTAACCTTCTACTTTTATATCTTTTCGCGTATATATATAAAGTAGGATATAGATAGATAGCTAGAGTATAGGTATAGGTAATAAGTTATAATCTTAACTTAACGCTTAACTTAACGCTAAACCTAATATTCTAACTTTAACCTAATCCTAATTATAATCCTGATTACTCTACGTACCGTACGTAGTAAGTAAGTCCGCTATAAAGCACGAACTACGAAGTACGAAGCACGAAGCACGAAATATAAATTATATATACAACTACCACTACTACTACTACGACTATCCTTAAGATTAAAGATACCCCTTCGTTATCCTCCTTCTTCTCCTTAGCACTACCTTACTCACTTACTCTTACGCACTCACTTACTCATCCACACACACACACACCCAAGTTATACATTCTCTTGCTTACTCCGAACTCGTCTACCCTACCCTACATACATACACAGCCCATCACTACGCTACGCTACTCTACGCTGCCCCGTCCCGCCCCGTCCCGTCCAGTCCCATCCGGTGCAGCCCACCCCGTCCCAGCCCATTTTCTACACCATGCGCTCCGCACCGCACCACAGCCCAGCACACGCACTCCGCCCCCAGCCAGCCAGCCAGCCAGCCAGCCGTAGCGCAGCGCAGGCACCACGACGCCACCTAGCTAGTGCGCATACATGCGTACGAGCACCACTGCCCTGCCACTGCCACTACCACAATCGCCCTGCCCTGCCTTCTTACGCCCTGTCGCGCAATGCGTGCTGCGCAGTGCGTGCAGTATTCACAACCCCCACGCACGCACGCACGTGCGCGACTGGATGGATAGATGAATGGACGGAGGATGGGTGCGTACGACACGTACGAGACGAGACAAGATGTGAAAGGGGGACAGACGTGGAAGGGGGACACATGTGTATTGTGTATATGTGCGCTACACTGCACGCTGCACGCTGCACGCTGCACGCTACACGCTGCGCGCGGGTGGGTTGAGCTGTGGTGGCCGAGTATTGTGATTGTGAATGTGAATGTGAATGGGATGGAACGGTGTGGATGTGGTTTTGGTAGTAGTAGTAGTAGTAGTAGTAGTAGTGGTAGTTTTAAAGTCGGAGAGAGAGAGAGAGAGAGAGAGAGAGAGAGATTACAAGAGGGAGACTATTGTAGAGTCATGAATGGATGGATGGTGTGCAGGTATGGTATGGTATGGTATGGTATAGGTGGTATATAGCAAGGGTATGATAAGGGTATGGGTGCGTGCGTGCATGCGTGCGTGGGTATCGAATCGGAACGTAAGCCGAGGGGACGAATACGGACGGACGGACGGGGCAGAGGGCGGTCGCGGTCGTTGGGGCGTTGGCGTTGGGGGGAATGGTGTGATGCAGCAGCGCGCAGCAGCAGCGGCGGTGGAGAGGCAGGCGCCGCCGCGGTGGGCAGCGCTGCGGGGTGCGTGTGCGTGAGTTCGTGTGTGGCGGTGAGGCGCGACGGGGCGACGGGCGGGACTGAGCGAGCTGTGTGCGTGTGTCGCTCGTTTCCGTTACCGGCAAGTCGGCGCATGCAATGCTCATCCATCCCGTCCTGCCTCATCTCGTCTCCTCTGCTCTTGTCTCGTCGAGTCGTCTTCTCGTCCCAGCCCATTCCATCGCCCCCTCCTCGTCCGAATCGAGCTTAGCCGAGTGAGCAAGTGATGATGAGTGTGTGCGTGCGCAGTCCATGCTATCTCCCCCTCGTTCTCCGCCGTCCAGACAGCCGGCGCAGCAGCAGCAGCAACAACAACAACAAATCTCCGCAGCTAGGCTAGTCACGCAGCCATGCGCGCCGCTTCTCCTCCTTCTTCTCGCGCCGCTTCTGCTGAAACGCCTTGATTTCCTTCTTGGAGAGCTTCTTGCCCTGGCGCTCGGCCTTGAGGCTGCGCCCGTCGTGGCTGTTGGCCGCGGCGTCGACGTCGAAGAACGCGTTCAGCTGGCGCTTGCTCTTGCTCTCGTCGCTGTGCTGCTCCGGGTTGATGTGCCCGGCCTGCCACCGCCCCGTGAACCGGTTGAAGTACCCCGTCGCCGAGTACGCCTCTGCGCCGTTGCCGCCCCCAGATCCTCCTCCTTCCCCGCCCGCACCACCGGCTGCTGTTGCCGCCGCGTACGCTGCTTCTCGCGCTGCCGCCTCCTCGGCCTCCTCGGCTTTCGCCTCCAGCGCGTAGTCGGCCGTGGGGTCGTAGTCGCCGTGAATGGCGGGGTTGTAGCCGCCGTGGGGCCGTCGCGAGGCAGACGCCTCGGCCATGGCAGGCGGCGCGCCAAGACTCGAGCTGGTGCCCGTCGCCGAGGTGCCGGGAGCAGCGCCGGGTGCGTCGCCAGCTGGCACGCGCGGGTTCTCCCACTGCGTGGCCTGGGTGAAGCGGTTGTAGAAGTAAAAGGCCTGGTGCGTGGGCTCCCAGATGGGCTCCCAGCCGTCGTCGGGCTGGTCGGGCGGGGCTTCGTTTGGCAGCGGAGGGGCCTCGTCGGGGAGGGGCGGGGCATCGGAGTCGGCGTCGGGGGTCGACTCGGTGGGCGTCAGACTGGTGCGTTTGCGCTTCTTGTCGTTGTTGGTGTTTTCATGACTGGCGGAAGGGTGGATGGCGTCATCGTCATCGGAGAGGGTGGGAGGAGACTGGGCGGGGGCGTCGGAGGTCATGCTGAAAGTTGTGGTGGTGACGAGAAGTGAAACAGCAGTCAATCAGAGTAATGAGAGAGAAAGCATGTCACGGTCACGTGAAGGTCGTGCACCCGGCAGGGCGGCTTGGGCTTGCGGTTGCGTCTCAGGCCGGGGCGTGCACGCGTGCATGGCGTCGTCGTCGTCGCCATCGTTCGGGGCACGGCGATCCAAATCAGTCTCACACTGTCCTTCGGCACTTGGACGCACGCCCGGCAGTGGGCCTCTGTTCCTCGTGTCCTTTTTCGTCGTCCTCTTGACCTACCTAGTACATACTTATTTGGCTTCTCTCTCCTATCCCCCCAGCCACCTGACAGCTGAACACCTTGAGGGCTAGCTACTCTGCTCTGCCGCCAACTCCTCCCACGGTTCGCTCTCTCTCTCTCTCCAACATATTCTTACCTCTCACGTGTCTTCGCACCATCGTCGACGATAGACCCCAAACGGCCCGACGCCCTCAACCAGCCCGCCAGCACGCCCCCGCGATAGACAGCTCCCGAGCTCACCGGCCTCCTGAACAAGCTCGCCGTTTTTTTTGCGCTGCCGCGTGCTCGCCCCGCGCGCGCCGACTATGCCACGAGGCTTCCCGCGCTAGCGGCACTGCTGTCTTGGGGCGTACCAGGTTGCCCGTCTGGTCAGAGCTCGATCTACCGGCCCTCTCGGCATCTACTTAACCCATCTACCGCACCCCATCCGCCCGTTCCTCAGATCCTCAGGAGTTTTCTGTGTTATATCGCAAAGGCCTGCCTTCAAGCGCGCCATCTACCGAGAGTCGAACAACCTGTCCCAACCTAACTTTCGTCCCCATCCATCCTCCTTCCACTTACGTCATTGTCACCGATTGGCTGCGCCGGGAGCGACGGCCGACCTCCATCATGCTCCCGATCGGGCGAACCCCCGGGGACCTGTCACCGCCTCATCAGATGTCCACCCAGGCCAGGGTATTGCCAAGCCTGCGGACTGTCCTCAACTCTCCACTGCTCGACGCTTCGCCCGCGCTTCCCCGCGCCCAACCCACGCGCCTCCCGAGCCTCAACAACTTTGACCAAAAGACCCATGGCTACTCGGCCTACGACGAGAGCCGGCCCTCCATGGCCGTCGCCTCGTCCATGCCGGCCCCGGCCTACCCTGCTTACATTGCAGCACCAACGCCGGCTCCGGTCCCGCATGCGTCCAACGGAATCCAGTACGGGCCGCCGAGGCCGGCATCGAGCTCTTCCGGCACCGTCTCGTCCGACCACCACTCGCCCGGTGCGCCAGGCGCCGCCGAGGCCAACGCCAGACGCCACGGGCCCGACATGTCCAAGGCCTCGCTGCAGAATGCTTCGCGATACGTCGGTCAGCAAGAGGTGCCCGGCGAGGGCTGGTGTTATGTCTACGACGACGGCAGCTACTGCAAGACGACGGTCGACGGAGAGCCCGTCAACCCGTCCTGGGGCTTAACCAAGGCGGGCAAACCGCGCAAGCGCCTGGCCCAGGCGTGTTTGACGTGCCGGGAGAAGAAGATCAAGTGCGAACCTGGTTACCCGACGTGCGCGCAGTGTGCCCGGGCTCGCCGGAATTGCAGGGGGTAAGTGAGGTTTTGTTTGTGTGACAATCGACGTTTGTCGCAATCGCTTCATCAGGGGGCTGTGACTGACTGGTTTCAGTGGAATGAGCATGCACAAACCGAGCCCTGATGCGCAGAGGGCGAGCACGTCAGAAGCAACAGCCGCTCCCGGCAAACAGCGCGTCGAGGGGCTCCTGACTGCAGATGCTCCTCGGCGGCCACCCGCGAGCGTGAGCCCCTCGCCGGACACGCTCGAGTGCGTTTCAAACGCGCTGAGGACTGAAACGGCTCGAAAACGGCAACGTCGTGCATCGTCGTCGAACGAAGGACCGGGCATGTTGGACGCCGCGGCAGCTTCGGGTGCTGGCAACCTCGCTGCTGCGCCTGGTCCTACGGTCCCTCCCTATGTCTTGAACGTAGATCCCTACGAGGTGGACCCAGCGCACACGCGGCGACTGCTCGATCTCTACTTCACGTACATCAATTCGACGACGTACACGGTGTTTCCGCGCGATGCGTTTATGCGGTGGGCGACGAACGAACGGCCAAAGTCGACCGAGGACCATCTCCTGCTGTACGCCATCATGTGCATGGGCAACGTCTTTTCGACGGATGCGCGGCAGGACTTTGTCGAGCCGGTGCTCGTGAACATTGTGACGAGCGGGCTGGAGGAAAGGATTGGCTGGTTCACGCTGCAGGTGTGTCTGAGCCAGCTCCTGCTGGCACTTTATCATTTCGCACGTGGCAAGAACGGCAAGGCGTACGCGTGGTGCGGGTTGGGTCTACGAGCGCTCAGTGCGCTGAGGTATAACACGGAAAAGGGCGTGACGTGGCTGGCAGACGAAGAAGATCCGGAATTTGGCTTCAACCCGGAGACGCTCGTGGAATGCCGGCGGAGGATCTTCTGGGCCGGGTTCCTGATGGATGTAAGTCGGACGAGGGTCGGACCAAACAAAGCACAAGGTTACTAATAATGTTTGGGAAACAGCGCTTCAACGGGCACGCGGGCGGCACGCTCTTCATGATCGGGCTCGAGGAGATATTCGTGCGGCTGCCGTGCACCAACGCGGCCTACGAGGCGGGCGAGCCCGTCGAGGCGCCGCTGCTGCGGGACGCGGGCCCGGACGCGGACCCGGCGTCGCCGGCGTGGCAAAACGTCGGCATCATGGGGCAGCTGGCGCAGGTGTCGGCCATCTGGGGCGACGTATGGGCTTTCACAACGCGGACGGCAAGCAGCTGCGCACCGCTAGACATAGGGGCATACGAAGCCTTCCACGCGCGAACAACAGCACGCCTACACCACTGGCGCGCTGCCCTCCCACCGCATCTCGTCTTCACGACGCGCAACCTCGACAGCGCCATCGCTGCCGGCGTCGGCCCCGCCGGCTCCCTCGTCTCCCTCCACGCCCACTTCCACGCTACCCTCATCCGCCTCAACCGCCACGCCCCGCACGCCCATCTCCCGCCCCACCTCCTCTCCCGCAACATCGCGCACGCGGTGCGCGCGGCGCGCGACCTGCTCGCTCTAGCGGCGCCGCTGGCCCCCGCTGCCCGCGTCGCCCGTCTCGGCCCCGACGTCGCAATGCCCCCACGTTTTGCCTTCAGCACCCCGTTTCCGGGGTACGCTGTCATGCTCGCGACGGACGTGCTGGCGGCTGTGGGACCGGGGCCGGGAATGGGACTGGGAACGGGGACTGCGGCGCTGGCGGATGTGCTCGGCGCGTTGGAGGCGGGGCTGGCGCTCGTGGATGAGATAGCGCGGTTTTGGGCGAGTGGACGACAGCAGCGACGGGGCGTCAAGGCGCGATTGCGGCTGCTGGAGGAGGGCGTGCTGGGGCAGGGTGGGGGCGGGGGGATGGGTGTGCCCCGTGGGGTTGGGGGGCTAAGGTGGTGGCGCGTTGATGCTGCTGCTGTTGGTGCTTCTGGTGCTGGTGCTTCCGATGGGTTTGGGTTTGGTATGGGTGCAGGCAAGCACCAGCACCACCACCAGAACCAGACACAGTCACAAAACCAGGCCCAGTGGTGGTGGCGCGTCAAGACGCCGCTGGAGGGCGCGTTTGAGCGCGCGGATGACGTCGTGTATGGCGCTTCGGATGGGGCGGTGGCGAGGGGGGTGCTGGAGGCCGGGGGGCTGGGGCTGGGGCTGGTGTAGTTGTGGTTGTGGGTTAATGTCGTCTTCTGCTGGGCGGGAGGTCGGTTTTTCGTTTCATTTCCTTTTTGCCTTTTCTTTTCCTTTTCCTTTT